CCTGGAGTAGGGGAGTCCAAAACTAGAGGGGCATAGGTTTAAGGTGAGAGGGGAAAGATTTAAAAGGGACCTGAGGGGTAACTTTTTCACACAGAGGGTGGTGCGTGTATGGAATGAGCTGCCAGAGGAAGTGGTGGAGACTGGTACAATTACAACATTTAAAAGGCATCTGGATGGGTACATGAATAGGAAGGGTTTAGGGGGATATGGGCCAAAAGCTGGCAAATGGGACTAGATTAGTTTAGGATATCTGGTCAGCACGGATGGGTTGGACTGAAGGGTCTATTTCCAGGCTGTGAGCTTTGACTCTATGATTGTAACTCACCGGAGGAGGACTCTCCACAAATATCCCCATTCTCAATGATGGAAGAGCCCAGCACATCAGTGCAAAAGATAAGGCTGAAGCATTCACAGCAATCTTCAGCCCTGAAGTGCCATTATCCATCTCGGTCTCCTCCAGTGGACCCCGGCATCACAGATGCATGTCTTCAGCCAATTCAATTCACTCCATGTGATAGCAATAAATGGCTGGAGACACTGGATACTGAGCAGGCCCTGACTATAGCTATAGCAATGCTCACTGAAGCTAATCCTTACATGGCCACCCAGCCCCTGACCTCATTCAAAACCTTGAGTCAAATGTGGAGAAACGAGCTGAATTTTAGAGGTGAGGTGAGAGACAGCCCTTGACACCAAAGTTGCATTCAAACGAGTGTGGTATCAAGAAACCCCAGCAAAGCTGGATTTAAGGAGAGTCTAACCACTGCCACTTGACATATAATGATGTTACCATCACTGGCTCCCCCATGATCAACATCCTGGGGGTTACCATTGACCAGAAACTGAGGGGGGGCTAGCCGTGTGGGTGTACATACGCCGCATGGACTGCAGAGGTTCAAGAAGACAAAGTAAAGACTTCAGGATAACAAGAATTGGTTCTTGAATGTTGGAGGGGTACATGACAGCCAAGAAGAATAGAAAGCTAGGTAAAGGTGGAGGGCTAGCATGGTAAATCAAGAAATTGCATTGAAGCAGTAATTAGGGATGGCCTTGGTGCTGAGTTTTAGGATTTGGAATTGGTTTGGGTAGACACAAGGAATGGTAGGGGAAAGAAGTTACTGGTGGGAGTGACCCTAGAGAAGGTGATGGCCCAGTGGTATTATCTGTTAACCCAGAGACCCAGGTAATGTTCTGGAGACCTGGGTTCGAATCCTGCCACAGCAGATGGTGGAATTTGAGATCAATGAAAACCTGGAATTAGGAGTCTAATGATGACCATGAATACATTGCCGATTGTTGGGGGAAAAACCCATTAGGGAAGGAAGCCGCCATCCTTACCTGGTCCTGCCTACATGTGACTCCAGACCCACTGCAATGAGGTTTACTGTTAACTGCCCTCTGGGCAAATTAGGATGGGCAATAAATGCTGGACCTAGCCTGTGATGCCCTCATCCCATGACTGAATTTTAAAAAAAATCTACATCTCCCAAACAGGAACCAAAATGCAAGACAAAGTAGACAAGAAGAAATACTGGGAATGGTCTGCTGGAAGAGTTTATTTACTGTTTTTGAGACAGGAACCAGGTGAGAGCAGGTTGTATTAGACTTGGCATTGCGTATGTGACAGAGTTAATGACTTCAGAGTAAAGGCATCCTGAGAGAGCAGAGCACGGGTCACAAAAGGTTAGTTCACAGCAAGTGGTGAGGAAGCTTATGGGATGCTGTCTTCATTGTGAGATGGTCAGTGTGGACTCAATGGGCTGAATGGCCTCCTTCCACACTGTAGGGATTCTATGAATCTCGAATTATTATTAATTGGACATAGAAGTCAAGATGTTATGGTTCAGGATATTGGTGAGACTACACCTCAAACACTGCACAGGTTTCATCACCCTATTGAAGAACAGATGTAGATGTATTGGAGACGATTCAGAGCAGGTTTCCTGGACTAATCCCCAGAATGAGTGTACTGTCTCAGGAGGACAGACTGGGATTGTATCCCACCTCCCAGGGGAATGAGTGACTGGAAGGAAGTGTATAAGATTCTAAATGGTGTGTACAAGGTGGATGTGGGAAGGATGTTTTCTCCTGTAGCTCAGTCCTGAACTAGGGGCAGGGTTTTAGAATTAGGGCTCACTCTGTAAGGATAGAGAGGAGGTTCGTCATCTCAGCACTGTATGTCACTTTGGAACTGTCCACCTCAGGGCAGTGGATGGAAGGTCATTGATTATTTTTAAGGAGGTGGTAGACCAGGGGAATGAAGGGGGATCTGGGGGGAGGAGGGGGATTTGCTGGAGAGGGGAACGTGGGATTGGGAACACATAGAGATCAGCCTTGTTGAATGGGGCAGTAGGATGGAGGGGCCGAAAGGCAGAGTCGTGCTCCTCAATCTCATTTTGCGACTGCCTGCCCTGCGTCCTGCCTTGTCACACGTTCTGTGGGCTATGGGTTCAGTCACCCTCCTGTGTCAGGAAGAGTGTTCCATTCCAATCCACACCATCCCAGTTCTGGGCAAAAGAGAGGGAGAGAGAGTGTGACCATTTCCCAGACTAACTGCCCCAGCTTGTTGGGAGAAGTGCCAGGCGCAGTACATCGATCTGACTCGTCCCGTCTCCCATTTGTCTCTTCCCCAGGTGAACAATAACGGCGTAGTCTCCTTCCGAGATGCTGTCTCTCAGTTCACACCCAACACCTTCCCCCTGGCAGATGGCCGGCCATTTATTGCCCCGTTTTGGGGTGACGTGGATACCCGGAACGGAGGTGAGATCTATTACCGACAAAGCTCCGAGCCCCGTCTCTTACAGAGAGCCAGTGCAGACATCAACAGGCACGCTCCATCACTTCAGTTCCAAGCGCAGTGGGTCTTTGTGGCCACATGGGATCGAGTCGCATTCTATGGATCCCAAACATCAAAGGTAAGGAATCAACTGATAGGCCAATCATATCCTCAGGCTGACAACAAGCCCACCCTCCTCCCAAACTCCTCTCGCCCCTGGGGGTAAGATCACGCACAGACACAAATCAGGAAGTTCCCAGCCCTGAATATACTGAGACACCCGATACCACCAAAACACCCACCCGTCTACACACACACAAGCAAAAGCAACCCACACACACCACCTCCCCCAACCCTCTACTACACTCCACACACACAGACACAAACCCCAAACGACAACGCGCATCCCCTCAAATATCCTCCACACGCACCAGACACACCCCCCCCACACACACTAACACTCTTACACTCACACCCCCGCACACACTCCCGAAAACACACCACACCCCCTCACACAAGGAACCCAGTGCACACACCTACTCTGCACGCTCAATGCCCACGCACAGCACCGCAGACATGGACACACACCCCTCAGGCACACACAACCCCCATCCGCGCACACACACACACACACACCCAAGCGCACACAACCCCTATCCGCACACACACACCCCATCTACACAAACACAAACACACCCCATCCACACACACACCCCTCATCCACACACACCCCATCCACACACACACACCCCATCCACACTACGCCCCCCATCCACACTACGCCCCCCATCCACA